ACGCGTCCATGAGTACTGTGGTATTGATGGCGTCCTCTCCCGATGTGTCGGAGCTTGAAGCCGTAAAGTAAACGCACTCGATCGCGTGTCCAAGGACTTTCTCAGCTTCATCCAGGTTTCGCTTCCACGCTTTGATAAGATCCTCATATATGGAGTTAAACTGGTCGTTTCCATGTCCGGTTTGCTCAAGCCACTCCCACTGGACGATCGCTGACTCGAGGAGAGAAGTAGGCGTGTCAGCGTTGAATTCATAGAATTTGGGGGTTCTCAGTCTCTCGTCTGGGTGGTCCAACCCCCCAAAGCAGACATCAAAACGACCGTAAATACTGCCGCAGGCAGGTTCCCGGTCCCAAGACCCGATGATCTGCTCGACTGCAAAATCAGGAATTGCCATCTTCTTTGTCATGATCGACGGGTCCCTGCAGATTGCCTCAGCTGCTTCACAGCACATTTCGAAGACATCTTTACCGGCTCGGATAAGCAAGTCTATCTCCTTTGTTGTAAAGGAGTAGTACCGGTCATCTGGCCAGTAGTCGGAGCCGGCGTTCAAGGTATATACAAGACCTTGGCTCTGGACCAGTTTGGTGTGATTGGGTCGGGGTTTGATTTGTACTCGACGCATGATGAAATATATGGTGTCGACTTCCGGTTGTGAGAATTACAGAGATTAGGATGGTGAGCTTAGGCGTGCTATATACAATACCCATGGTACTGAGATTCATCAACAAATAGGACTAGAAGATCACGACAATCAAATCATCGGTGACACCGAACATCAATCACTCTTAGTCTTGGAATCAGGTCTCGTATTTGGGAAGCTAGGTATGAATAGGGAGGGAGAGTGGGATTAAAGTTCGACAAAGAAGTCACGAGATTGACTGGGCAGCAGTGTGACCAAACTCAAGATTGCCCTGCCTGTATGGGAGGCTGAGAAACAAGCCCGGTAGCCGGGCAAAAAGGCTGAAGTTTAATGTGTTGTGATACTGGGTATGGTGTCAAGTTGTTAAATTCTTGGTGTTGAGGAATATCCTCTTTTTTCTCAGCAGCTACCGCATAACAAGAGAGCTCTCTCTCTTACTGCTAAGGCTGAGGAACCCGATGAAATGAAAACTATATCAAGGGCAACAATGCCCCCTTTTCTACTCCTTACTTCCTCCATCCACCCCATCATCAGAAGCACCGTGAAGCTTGGGATTTCTCAGGATCGCTCAGCTCGCCTACTCTTACACTTCTTATTATCCCTCTTGCTTATCTTACCACCATAAAAACTCACAATGAAACACTCCGCTGTTCTTCCAATTCTCAAAGCGGCCGTTGCTACCTTCGGTCTCGGCGCCGCGAATGCAGCACCTCACTGCGTTGACAAATTCTCCAATGAGGTCGCCATGTCCAAGTGTGAGGACACCAATTCTGGCGCGAGCGACTTCCACCTTGTCGATGGCCCTGATCCCGTGGGAACCGGCAACGATATACCAGCTACAACTCCTGCGCCCAACCCGAAGCTCGTCAGTGCTGGATTCGGCAAGAGAGGCGACAATGTTCATACAATGCTTCCAGTCATTGCTGGCGCCTAAGAGGGAAAATATGAATACCAAAACTCATTTACTAAACATGTGAATGGAAGAGGAGCAGTTCGCTTGACGGCGTTCAGAGCGACTGCCGATTTCAACAACGTGCTTGGTAGTTTACACAACAAAATATTCAAGTGATAGATGAATGGATCGTTCAGGCTAGTTCTCTAAATTAAAAAAGTTGACATTCTAGGTATTTGCTCGTAGTTCATCTGGAGCTTTGATTGACGTATTTTTCAGCATTTATTCGAATAATGTTTTATGCAGGCTCCGTTTATTTCCTGCTCTTTGGTCCTCTCAAGATATGTTTCATTGTACCCAACCATTTCGGATCACGCTTGGTATTACTATCACCCCAGTCTTCACCATGACGGGAGTCTGGATCGTTGATCCACTGCTTCAAGACATCTACGGACTTGGGTGACGACCTGGCATGAAATAATGGCTCATTTCCTTCAATGTCCTTCAGTCTCCAGTCGGCACCCTGCCGCAACAACTGTTTGATGACTTCTGGACGTCCTTCATTGGCGGCGACATGTAATGCTGTCCACTGTCTATTATCAGTTGCGTTCACCTTCGCCCCGTGCCTCGACAAGAGCGCTATCATCTCCTTACTGCGTTCGATCTGGCAAGCTCGATGCAGAATGGGCTCTCCTGCGTTGTCTTTGCTGTTCACATTCGCTCCGTTCTTCGCAAGCCATCCCGCGGCCTCGACCGCCCCCATTCTCACAGCATGTGCGAGTGTTGTCTGGCCAGTATAATCAGCTGCGTCAACCTTGGCGCCGTTCTTCACCAGAAGCTCCAAGAGCACAACCTTGTTCATGTTCGCTGCGCGGAACAACGGTGACTGGCCTCCTTTATCGCCTTGGTTGGGATCTGCCCCATAGCGTAGAAGTAGCTCCGTGTGGCCGAGGGGAAACAGTCTGACAGCCTCATGAAGAACCGTGGAACTGAACCTGGTTAGAGAATTTGGATTCGCTCCTTTCTTTAACAGAAGCTCGATAACCTCGAGGGGTTGGATCATGATTCCTATCCCCAGAGCGGTCTCTCCTCGGCAATTCACCACCGAGACGTCTGCTCCACGTTCGATCAACAGCTTCACCGTTTTATCATCTCGATCAACCTCTGCAGCACGGTGTATCGGAGTCACGCCCTCCTTGTTAGAGGCGTTGATATCAGCTCCGTGATCGAGCATCAGCTCAGCTACTGCTGCGCATCTCAACCCAACTGCGTCATGCAGGGGCGTGTTACCGATCTTGTCTTTGACGAACTTGGCCCCCTGAGCCAACAGAAACTCAGTCAACTCCCTCTTATCTCTCGCACTACGAGACATCCAGAGCGGATTCCGGCCGTCGTGCGACAGGGCCGTCACATCACTACCCAGCCGGACAAGCAATTTAGCCATCTCCAACTTCCCATTATAGAGACTGACAGTATGCAAGGGCCTGTGACCTCGGACTTCCTCCGTGTTCACATCAGCGCCATGGGAAGCGAGAAGCTCAACCGCATCACAGTGTCCGGCTTTCACCGCCTCGTGGAGGGCCGTTCTCCCATTAGCTTCCTTGGCCTCGATCTCGGCACCATGGCGGAGGAGAATCCGCAGAGTCTCCAGGAAGCTCGGCCTGCTTCCGGTCCGCACGTGAGACCTAGCGCATCGAAAATGGGTGTGAGGGACCGTAGCAACGGTCAGAGGCTGGCGTCCATCTTCCCCTACAGCATTGACATCTGCGCCGTGCTGGAGTAGTAACGCTACTACAGACGGGTCACCGTTGTGCGATGCGGCATGAAGCGGCGTATGGCCATGTTCGTCGTGTTTCTCAATGTCGATCTTGCCGGTTGACAGAAGCACCTCGGCCATCTTGAGCCTCCCCGACGCGACTGCGACATCGAATGGCCTCACCCCTTGGTCATCCTCGTCGATGGCCTCAAAGCCCCCGTAGCTTTCCTTACAAGCCCAGAGGGACGTGAAAATGTCGTGGTTACCCCACTCGGCGACCAATGTGAGGTGGTGCAGGGTCACCACGTCCACGCCCGCACTGGTCGCCCGCTGGATCGTGTCCAGGCGGTTGTTGAGTATCGCCCAGTTGATGGCAGAGCCGCGTAGTTTATAGCAGTCAAAACGGTAGAGGAGGAGAATAAGGGCCTGGAAGGTTTGCCGACATGTTCTACTCAACGCGCTGATGTCTCGCGCCGAGGTTAATGACTCGCAAATGGCCTGAAGCAGCTCGTTGGGCAGGTCTGAGAAGATTGCGTGAGCCATTCTTTGCGTTCAGTGGCAGTTAAAGCCTGTAACGGTAGTTTTGGGTGCGCGATTAAGGAGAATTGGGCGTCAATATCCAGCATGATTGAGGCGTGGCGGAGGCGATGCAATACATTAGCAAAGCGGTTCTGCCTGTTGTTCACGCGTCGCTCCTCCGAGAAATTGCTTACCCTGTAGCGTTCCATGCTTCACGCTTTGTCACGCATTTGTGCCATGCATCCTTTCAATGAGCACCTCTAAGGAGAAAATTAATTCAATTACTATGATCCCATCCTTTCCTAAATAGGCTACATATCTTGCTCTAATAAAGAATCATAATTAAATATATTGACACAGTATTCCAGACTATCAATTGCCGATCAACCAGTAGTAGGGATATTTTGGACAACACAATAAAAAAATGTCAAACCAAATCTAAATCAAAACTACATCAAGGGAAACAATTAAATATATAATGCTTTGAAACTCGTCTCTGTTTTCTTGAAGAGTCTCATTACTGCTTTTGCCAGGGTTGAAGGAATTTAGACACATCGTAACAGAATTCTCACCGTCTCTACTACTCGACTATCATAATTGATCTTGAATAGATCGTGGATGATATATATCTGTCTTCCTATTGACAATCTTAGCATTATTTTGCTATATTTTCCCATCAACTCAATCTGTATAGCCTATGAACTACTACAGCACGAAGTACATGGCTTGCTGAGGTTCCAGCAAACTGCGCTCCGCCTAGAAGATATTCCTTGCAAATAAATTCTCTGAGGGTGTTAGAGCGTCTTAAAACTCTGGCCATCTCAGAGAAAGTCATATTACCGGAGATATGCGGGCTTTTGCGTTTCTCCTTTGAGGCAAGCGGACTTATTTGTTGCTAAATCCGGATACAGTTCCTATTCGGTGTGTTGGCTTCAAACCTACTTGCAGGCTATAAAGCTCGTACCTCTTAAACCAATATAATCTAAAGAGGCGGAGGCTAAGTACGTTTTTGTGATCTGAATATTTCGACATGTTCCGGAAACGCCTAACTGACTTGATATTGCATTGAAACTTTTCCTAAGTCCGTACTTGGATCAAAGCTTCGCTTATTGAACCCTCCTACCCTCCTAACTAGAGTGAAAAGGATTGATAGAAGAACTAAGCCAGTAATTCAAAAGGAGATAATAAATTCGATGGCTTCTTTTGTTGTTACTGGAACCTCGAGGGGCCTAGGGCTCAGCCTTGTAGATGCACTCTTATCAAGACCATCTTCGGAGGTATCTCAAATCATCGCCTGTACACGCTCGCCAGATGCTTCGAGCGATCTATTATCTCTGATACGATCATCGAAGGGCCGAATCAGACATGTTCAAATTGATCTTGACGACTTGGCTACTATCTCAGCGGCAGTCCCTTTGGTAGCCGATATTCTCGGCGAGCAGGGCTTGGACTATCTAGTCAACAATGCAGCTGTTCGCGACCCCAAGTTCACTGAACTTGAAGATATGGACTTTTTGCCCCAAGCTCTCTCTACCAATGTGGTTGGGCTTCACGAAGTCATCAAGTCTTTCTTGCCCCTCCTTAGAAAAGGGAAAGCCAAAAAAATTGTCAACTTCTCCTCAACCTTGGGGCAATTGTCAACAGCTCAAACAGACCCAAAGATGGTCGGCGTGCCATTCCCAGCCTACAAAATCAGCAAAGCAGGCACGCATATGGTCACTGCATTGTGGTCGAATCGTCTCAAAGAGGAGGGTTTCTGTGTCTACATCCAGAGTCCTGGAAATTTGAAAACGGATCTAGCAGGAAAAGAAAGAGCAGATCTTGCACCTGAAGTTGGAGCTAAAGAAGTAATACGAATCGCACTCGAGGCTCGTCCACAGGATACTGGGAGACATCGAAATATTCTAGTGCCGGGTTGGGAGCAGGGAGGTGGTGTCGGCGGAAGATATGATGGTGAAGATTTATATTGGTGAGAGAGCAAAGGTTCTTGTAAACAATGATTTGAAACATGAAACATTGTTCAATCACCCATAGACTCCTTTCCAGGCCGATTGCAGGTGAAGCGGTGATTCTAGGGTAGGGCAATATTATTGGAGTTTTATCGTCGCTGATTGGTAAGCGCCAACAGGCAGCTAAAAGTACGACAGCAGGAGAAACTCGGAGAATTTAATAGCCGAAACCACCGAGACAAAGCTCATTTCCACGCCACTTCACATCTCAGGCGAAACAAAGACAGAAGCATCCATGTGGTGACGTAACAAGCTGAAACCATGGACAGCACACAGCTGGGATTGAGGATTGCTTTCTACAGCTATCCGGTCCTCCTCTTTGTGACGCTCCTGGGTGTCCAATCCTTCCAATATTATGTTGAGCGCAAGCGAGGCCCCGAGTCCAAGGCGACCCGCAACGCGCTCGACAGCGAGCAGAAGGCAAAGGCCGAGAAGATCACGCGTGTTTCCTCGACAATCATATGGATTCTTCAATTGATTCTTTCCGGCCTCCTACTGGCCAGCATTATTGTCGCTGTGCACGAAGCGATTGTCGGTCAACATGCGCTTGACGGCAAGGCCGGGTTCGCGTTCAGTGCATACACGGTATGTCTTCTACCTACTTCCTGACTGCTCAATTGGGCCCAATTCACCTGCTACAAAGCCGCTAACACTGTCGCATAGGCATCGTATGTCGGAGTCCTGCTATACTACCTCTCTGGTCTGCTGCCGGACCCCGAAGGGCCATGGATTCCTGGCACGTCGCATGCCTCTGCCTGGATTGTAGGCGCACTTGTTGAAGCAGTCATTGCAGGCGTCTTTTGTGCCGTACAACCCTCACTTCGAGTCTCCAAGGAGTTTCTTGGCACATTGAACGCGCTGGCGTACTCTAGAATTGCAATTCTGGTCATCATGTTTGTCGTTCTTGTGGTAAGGGAGTATAAGCTTAAGCCTACTGCGCCCCGATCTGTTCCCGAGGAGCGTCAATCTCTCCTAGAAAACGGCGATGGCTCACCGGCCAACTACGGTAGTGTTCCTGCTCACGGTGCTCCTCCTGCCAGAACCCAGGTGTCCGGCACTGGGTGGCTTGACTATTTCGCGGGATTCCGAATTCTATTTCCCTACTTATGGTATAAAACTGTTGCCTTTGCTGCATTCCTTTCTTTTCCAGGTTTAAATTGAGACTGATACTGCTTCATTCAGGCCTAAGGACTCAATCCTTTATCAAGTCGTTGTGCTCATCTGCTTGATCCTTCTGGTACTCCAGCGCACCGTCAATGTCTTAGCCCCCCTCCAGCTCGGAACTCTGGTAGACAATCTTGGAAAGGGTACCATTCCTTACCGGGAAATTATTCTGTATGTCGTTTATCGCGGACTTCAAGGCAATCAGGGAATCCTTGGTGCTGCCAGATCAGTGCTTTGGATCCCGGTGTCTCAATCACTGTTCCGAAGGCTTTCAAGTGCTGCTTTCGAGCACGTCTTGGGACTTTCCCTAGACTTCCATTTGAACAAGAAGATTGGGGAAGTCACAAGCGCTCTGAGCCGTGGTGCCGCCATGAATACCTTCCTTGAGAGTTTTTGCTTCCAGGTATTCCCGATGGTTTTTGATATCTTCCTCGCCGGTGTCATCTTCTTTGTCAAGTATGATGCTTTCTACACCATCATCATCTTCTTCATCATGTGGTCCTACATTTTCTTGACCATCTACGTTGCTAAATATCGCGGAAAGCAACGAAGAGATATGGCGACCAAGCTCCGTGAGATGGAAGCTGTCAAGACCGATGCTATCATCGCCTACGAGACTGTTCAGCACAACTGCGCAGTTCCTCGCGAAACTAAAAGATTCAAGGATCACGTGGTATTCTACCAAATGGCTGAGCGTTTAGTGCAGTGGTCTCTCAACGGTCTGAATCTCACGCAAAGCTCCATATTCACGCTTGGAACTGCACTTCTTGTTGCTGTCTCGGCATACAAGATCAACATTGGCGAACAGACTGTGGGCGAATTCGTTAGTTTGATCAACTATTTCGTTCAGCTCCAAGGTCCCCTCAACTTCTTCGGCACCTACTACACAATGTTGCAGAACAACTTGATTGAAGCTGAGCGAATGCTTGACCTCGTAAGCTGTCCCGCACCCCTTTCGAACGTTGCCTGCTGATCCCGGATTTTAGTTTAAAGAGACACCTGGTGTTGTGGAGAAGAAAGATGCCATTAGCCTCCCTTCGGTTCGAGGAGAGGTTTCTTTCAATAATGTGGAATTCTCATACCAGACTAAGAAAGGCGAGCCTGTGATCAAGAACATCAGCTTCAAAGTTCCTCCCGGAACTAAAACAGCACTTGTCGGAGAATCTGGTAGCGGGAAGTCGACTTGCCTCAAGCTACTGTACCGCTTCTACGACACTCTTGGCGGCTCAGTCACAGTTGATGGCCATGATCTCAAGGACCTGAAGCTCGACAGTCTCCGCAAACATATTGGTGTTGTGCCGCAGGATACGGTGCTCTTCAATGCGACTATCATGTACAACCTGCTTTATGCCAACCCCAATGCCTCGGAGGCAGAGATTCATGACGCTTGCAAGGCCGCCAATATTCATGATCGTATCGTCAACTTCCCTGATGGTTATGAGACTAAGGTTGGCGAGCGTGGTCTGAAGTTATCCGGAGGCGAGCGCCAACGTGTATGTTGCTATCCCTTTCCCTTCCTAGATCCGTGTAGATGCTAATCATCCAAATCTATAGATCGCCATTGCCCGAGCTATCCTCAAAGACGCGCCTATCCTGCTCTTGGATGAAGCTACTGCCTCGCTGGACTCTCACACTGAGAGACAGATTCAGGACGCCCTTGAGCACGTTACATCAGGACGTACTACAATTACCATCGCGTAAGTTGACAGGATAGATTCTAAACCCTATTCGTACATGCATCGTCTGACAATTCCACTCGTTTCCAGCCATCGTCTCTCGACCATTACCACATCTGATCAGATTGTTGTCCTTCATAAGGGTGAAATTATCGAGCGTGGCACTCACAGCGAACTGCTCGCGCTCCAGGGACGGTACCACGCTATGTGGGAGAAGCAGACGACGATCGAGAAGAAGAAGCTGGAGAAGCTCGAAAAGGGGGATGCGTCTTCTGAGGAAATTTTGCATGAATAAGGACAACATGCTCACCCATCAGCTTTGCCGTTTCCCTAAGCTTGGAAACGTCTGATGTATTGGAGCGAGTGTGATGGGTCATGTATAGTAAACTTGTTCCTGCTACCGCGGCAATCGATTAATGTAGGATATTTGACGATGGTGTAGGACTCCAGAGAATAACAACTTGCTTGAAGCAAAAAACGCGACTTCTCATTTTCAATCTACTAGCTTAATACGAATACTAGCGGAGCTTCTACAGTATTTCGCAAAGAATTCTTAGATTTCGTAACTCTATTCTAACGTAAAGTTTAATAGTTGTATATCAGGTGCCTATGTATGATAGCTCTTGCGAGTAGCCCTTAAATGACAACTACATTAATCTCAAAGACGCAAGCTTGTATTATCTTACTTCTAGAGCCTTTGAAAGCTAATACAATAGATCAGGAAAAGTGTCACAACACCACGACTGAGATGTATTCGCCGCTTCTTGATCACTGCAACTTGCTTGCAGCAAGAAAACCCTGCACCGTAGTATTAATTAGAAAATGGCGCGGTTGGGCATCGGTCGGGCATCAATATTCTAAGTATTAAGGAGCTACGCCAATTATAATCTAAGCCTTTCACATAGCTAAGGACAACAAACATTGAGCCCCCCATCTGAAGTACCACGACTATAGAAGAAACTCAAGCAATGTTTCGTTAACATTGAATCACTATGAGTGGCGTCTATGGAGACACCTTACAAAGCGGTCATATCAGGCTGTTAGACGTCCGCACCCGCGGGGCCGGCTCCAAGCCTGAATTCGAGGGCAGTTTCAGGTTTATTTCTCTATCTGACCGCCCACTACCTGATTTCACGGCTGTTTCATACTGCTGGAATGATTGGAGCAAATTCAAGGAGAGCGAACTCGAGAGGATCCAATTTCCTGGCTATCAATCCCTTTCTCTTAGCCCCACTCTGTGGCATCTGTTCAACTCGTTGCAACAGAATTCCCCAAACTTCACCGTATGGATCGATTTCCTCTGCATCAACCAGAAAAATAAGGACGAGAGGGAGTCTCAAGTTCAACAGATGAATAAAGTGTACTCTTTCGCGAAGAATGTCCTTCTCTGGCTCGGGAAGAGAGATAGCATCAGTGAAAAGGCATTTCATTCGATGAGAAATAATCGCAGAGACCAATCAGCTCTGAACAGTATTTTCTTATTGCTCAGACGTCCGTGGTTCCAACGGGTCTGGGTCATCCAAGAGATCACTGTCAGCAAGAAGGTCCAGATGTGCTGCGGTCATGACCGCGAAGACTTTGACTACTTTTCAGACTATATATTCGACATTTGGAAGTACTTCTATGGATGGGATGGCTACGAGGATGACGATGATGCTGTCCGTGGATTGTGGTGCGTGACCAGACTGTTTTTCATCCGCGAGGACTTCAAGATGAACAAGCTATACTTCGAGAATTTGCTCCAGGAAGCGTTCCACCGGCAGGCAACAGACAAACGCGATATGGTGTACGCATTTCTGGGCATTGCAGACAACCGACACTTGCCTCCGCCGAATTACACTATATCGGAAGAAGAATTATACATTGAAACGGCCAAAGCCCTTCTCTGTAACGGCAAGTCTCTCGATCTCCTAACCCTGTGCGGCATCAGCAGGGAGCGTTCGCCCAGCTTGCCCACATGGGCCCCGGACCTTCGGTACCATAGCTTTTCAGAGCCGCTTGTTCCTTGTGATCGTGCAAATTGGAAAGCTGGTGGACCCTTACAAGTCTCGCCGAAAATTGAGGCACCGCTCCGACTTCGACTTCAGATTAGGCCTATTGACGCCGTGGCCATTGTCTGCCCGCCGTTCAACTCCGAATCCGTGGCAGATCAGCAAGCGGCATTTAAAGCCATCCGGGCGCTGAGGCTGCGAGTTCCAGGCAACATTTCCGAGGATGAGTGGATGGACGGCTTGTTTTCGACGTTAATTTGGGGCTTGGACATCGACGACCGGCCCCTGGAAAGCGGCGAGCAGTGGACTACGTGCTGGAAACACTTTAAGGACTGGTTGAAATGGCTACAGTTGAGCTCGTGTGAGGAAGACCTGCACAAAATTAGGCGAAACGAATACCACCGTGCCATGGGGGTACGCATAGATACCTGGATGGCATTCATGACGCACCGCGGTGACTTTTGCATCGGACCGGCAGCTATCGAGGTAGGAGACATTGTATGTATAGTGCCGGGTTGTCGGCTTCCGCTTGTGCTGCGGGCAAAGTCAACTGTATCGGATGAAGGCACGAGCCGTCTCTCGGCACTGACGCGGGTTCTTGTCGGCTGCTGTTATGTCGAGCGGTTGATGTTTGGTAAGGCTGCGGAACTGGAACGGCCTCTAGAAGAGGTATTTCTGCAGTAAACCGCAGGGCCTATTGATGCTTATTTCATTTAATAAAAGATAGCTTCAGCAGTTATACTTCTTACCCCCTAAAAAGACAGCAAAAGGGAACACAGTAGGAGTAAATGAAGAGATGCTCTGGCCCCCTCTTTGACCATATTAGGGGCTAAGAAATACGATTCTTAAAGCTTTAACCCCTTTGATTTATTCTCTCTCTCTATACTAACATAACATAGGCTTATCTACTTATCCTTCAAGATATGAGTAGATTTCTATCATAATCTGACCTAGTGGTAAGGCATACCTACTTTCTCCGAATCGCTCTTTCGTATCGAGACAGTACTGGTAATAAGTACTCTGACCAAGGGAATACCGGTACTCACTAGGTGGCCTCGAGCTTATGGGTAAGATTTCTAGGAATAATAACACCTTGCTCAATGTCCAACTTCACCGGCTGATCAAGCATGCAAGTTTTAATAGGCTGGGGGAACGGGTCTATGCATATATACATTTCAGCAAGTGTTCATGATAGTACTACTAGTACGGTTAGGCAGAACATCAACATGTTTGAAGTACATACATGACTGGTCATTCTATGGAGTATCATTTTGAGAAGAATTGGTTTAGCATCCGATGTTAAGTTCCCCATTTCTTTCTTTTGGAAATTGTGAAGAACTGGCCAGCTGAGTAATCCCTCCCAAATAAGAACTACTTCAAAGATGCAATCTTATATCAGATTTGCCTAAAGTGTTATTTAGAAGCTGAGTTTCTTTTTTAGGAAACTTTCTTCCATGTTAGTTCAAGAAGTGACCTGTTGAGCGGCCCAGCTGAGATAGTTGGGAGGGGCTGGCGGCTGAACTGCATATTGTCTCAGCGCCAGAGCCTTTGAAAACCAATAAAAAAGACCAGAAAGGGGCCGCAATACCATGACTGGCATTCATTCGCTGGACAAATGGCGCTTGTTGATGACTGCAGCTCGCCTGCAGCAAGAAACCCTGCGCCGTAGTATCAATCTGGTGAGCTGAACATCTGGCGAATAGGCAGCTCGTGACTTGGGAGCTCGTCATTTATTAATTAATGATGTCGCTTGTCCTGCTCCTAGGAGATTTTTAAGATCATTAGCTCTTTTGAGTGAGATTTTTCCTTACCAGTATAATACAAGCTAGATACCATTCCTCTTCGTTTCATCATGGACACCGACGTTTCACAGACGAACGCACCTAACGTTCCTACTACTCCCCCGGACCAGCCGATCGGGGTCCCCGTCGTGCAAATTGAAGGCGGGGAAGTAGCAGAACCCCTGCCATCCTTGCAACAATTCATCCGCAATGTACCCAAACAGCAGGACCATTTTCTAAGTGTTGGCGACAGCGAAAAGTTGGACAAGATTTTGGAAGGCCTGAAGCCTGAAGAAGTCAATGCCAAAGATGAGAATGATGGAGGGAGGACAGCTCTTCACAATGTCGCCCGACGAGGCTTGAAGGGCGTCATTGCCCGTTTGCTAAAGCAAGGTGCCATTGTTTCCGCAGAGGATGCGAAGAAAGACCAGCCGTTGCACTTGAGTTGCCAACGGGGGTTCGTCGGCACTACAACAGAGCTTCTCGAGCAAGGCGCAAAGGATTTCATCAATGCCAAAAATAGCCTTGGGCAGACGGCACTTCATTTCGCGTGTAGAAAGGGAAGGAGTGCAATCGTCAAGTTGCTGCTGGAATACAAGGTCAACACCAATGTCTTGAGTAGCGGCAACAGATCGCCAATTTTCGATGCTTCCAGTCGGAACCATCCGGAGATTGTGCAAATCTTGCTTTCCCACAAAAGCTGGGATAAAGCGTTGCTTGGGAAAAAGGTTACAGCAAGAGGTTGGACTCCTCTACATGCCGCTGTCTACAAGGGGCACGCCGATATCGCAGAGAAGCTACTGAAAAGCGGCTCAAAGCTTGGTATCTGTGACACCCAAGGATGTACTCCGTTGATGGCGGCCACCAAGCAGAAAAGTGCAGGCTTAATGGAACTTCTTCTTCAACCCTCCAGAGCAAGTCAAGGTCATCAGCTCGAGACACCAGATAAAGAAGGGTTCACGCCTCTGAGGGTAGCAGCTGCACAGGGCTTTTTGATTGGCGTTGATATGTTGGTCAAAGCTGGCGCAAACTGGACTTCCATTAATAGGCCAAACAAAGAAGGTTGGGGTGGCCTGACGAACGCGAGCTTCAACGGCCATGCTAAGATCGTTGAACTTTTCTTGAAACATGAGACGGAAATCGGCCTGTCTAAGGAAGAAAAGGGGCGGGCGTTACAAGCAGCAAGCAAGCAAGGGTACTACAACGTCGTCAAACAACTCTTGGATGAGAAAATAAATACACCGATTGATTTCCAGGATCGGGAAGGTATGACCGCACTACATCATGCCATACTTGGGGACATCCATAATGTTGAGAAGCAAGATGGGGAACTCCTCGGTCAAATTTCTGTTGATGGAGACAAGGAAAATCATACTGAATCAGAACCAGCCAAGCACGATGATGTAGCAAAACTTCTCCTAGAAGCTAAAGCTAAACCGGGACAGAAAACAAAAAAGGGGGACACGACACTGCATCTCGCAGTAAGAAGTCCCAGATCTAAGCGCACCAATCGGGTCGAGCTCATCCTTGAGCATATGGAGGATGACGATGTTTGGGCGGCAAATAATGAGGGACAAACTGCGCTGGATGTAGCCTTCGAAGTAGCGAACACGGAAAACCAGTCTGTCAATTGGGCAGTGGAAAAAGGCAACAGAGATAATCTTGCGCGATCGATCGTCTCAAAACGCAAAGAGCGAATTGGGCACGGCGTCAATTCGGAAGATTGGAGTCTCATCGAGTTAGCAGCCTACCATGCTCTTCCAGAAGTTCTCGCTTTACTGTTTGTCAACTCTACATCAATGAAGGAGACAATGAAGTGTATAGACTCTGCAAAGGGACTGGTAGCGAAGAAAATGAGCCAAAGAAAAGAACTTCTGACTAGGGCGAGGCCGAGAACGGCTACTACACCGTCCATGCCCGCAGGCACGAGCGAACGCAACGACGATGACAGCGAAGACGATCAGGATGATGACGATAATGGACCAGGCGAAGATCAGAGTGGATCTAATGCTGAAGACTATGGTGGTGAATTCGCTCAGGAGCATCTTATTATGGACATGCTAAACGATCCTCAAATTGTCATTATCAAGGACAGTGAAAGCTATGAGCTCCCGCGGCCTGAAGGCGGCGTGGAGGGCTTCCTAAAAGATCATAGCGCCTCAATCTTTCAATTTTACGCTGACGAGGAGGAATCAAGAATTATTCAACGATTTCGGACGGTACAGCAAGTCATTTACAGCGAAGGACAAGGACCGAAGAGAATTATGGAGGAAGCAGTAAAGAATTTGAAAAAGATCTATGGGAGGATGAAGTCACGTCCTCTGATAGCTGATCCTGAAAATGAAACGAAACCCAAGTTTACATGGGTTCACCTATCTTCGACAAATGTAAGTGTACCCAAGAGCGCGTCATCGGATAAATTGCTGACTTTGGGGAATAGATGGTCTGGATGGAGGTAAGCGGCTCAGGATCTGTGCAACCTGGGAGGAAATAACAGAAATTGATAGAGACTTCACAGGATGTTTTGAAGCGGATACTGAAAGATGAGGAATTCAGCCAAGATGAGAAAATTAGAAATGGGGAGACAATCAGCGATGATGAGAGAATCAGCAAAGATCGAATCAAAATGATCAACTCTTTTTTTCAAGACAGTTGGGCAGAAATTCCAGACAAGACATCGCCATCTCGGTTTATGAGACCGCAGCACAGCTACGAATTGTTCCAGGCAGAGAAAAAGAACAGCGATCAGTACGGCCGCTGTACCGCACTTTATGTGAGTATCACTTTCAACTCTGTCACTCGATATGCTAACCTTTGATGAAAGATTCCTTACCTCTCCTTTGCGAAATACTGTCGAGGTAAATGCTCAGACGACGCCGAAATTATCGGTGACGATAAGCTCCATGAGAAGAGCAAACGCCAAAAGCTTCATGATGAGACCCGGCGCTGCCAGGACTTGTTAAAAGCCTACCAGAATCGAGCTATTCACGCCCCCTCGACGCTCGACGAATGGTACTACCACTTTTCAGCCGAGCCTAGTTCGTCCGACGATAAACAGCGCCGCAATGAGACCCAAGTTGTGACGAAAAGTCTTAGAGACAACACGAGCGAGGGGGACCATTGGCGTTTAGTCCGGGTTAATCAACTATGGGCTTGGGTCGTCGGTGACAGTAAGTGTTTTCCGCCTTCTTATTGTCACCAACATTATACTAAAGCGATCTAGAATGGCTAATAACGGCAACTTGGGATCCAATCGATGGGATCGAAGAGACACTCCCACAAGGCATCATCGACCATATCCGGAAACAAGCCAAGATCCGAGGCAAACGCTACCAGCCATACAGTCCATTTTATATGAGCAAGCTCTTAGTTGACTACTGCATCGGATCTTATGAGAGGGCGCGTATTCCCACAGATAAGGAGCCAGAGCACGAACAACAAGTCTCTATCCGTCAAAGCTTGTCTAATTATATCAACATGATTGTTCGTCCATATTGTTTGCTCGGCCATGATTTTTGTCTAACGCATTAATAGGGAAGAGACGAAAAAGCGCTGTTCGAGAGATTCAGCAAATTCAGCCTGAAAACAAATGATCGACAAGGACTAAAGCATCTTCTACTAGACGATGTGATAAGGAAAGCCACAGAAGAGGCGAAGAGGATGTCCTGTGAAATCAAGGACATACGTGACGAACTCAATATTTTCAAATCGGTTGCTCAGTACCAGAAAGATGTTGAGCAAAAGCTGCTCACCAATAATTCAAGCAATATGCGCTCCAGAAATCCCACTCTAAGGTCAAACTACGTGGTTGATGATGTTGGCCAGATGGAAAGGATATCTCTCCGCATACAATCTTCTGTAAGTCTCGACTGCCCATCTTGATGAAGGTCTTTAACAGGAATAGATCAGTGAAACACTCACCTTGGAACAAAGTGAAATTGCCAATCTTCAGGCAACTCTATCAGTAAAGCAAGGGAAGACCCTCATGACCTTCACCATTGTGACGATCGTGTTTGTGAGTCGCTCTAACAGTAGCGGACGTATCTGCAGATAGCTCTAACTCTCACGACAGCTGCCTCTCTCCTTCCTCGCATCCTTTTTCGCCATGGACTTTGGAGCGTTCCAAAATAGTGCCTGGTGGGCTAAACTTGTTGTTTGTAAGATCTGCCTGCAACTCAATTGCATTTTTGGCTGTTTATTGATAACTTGAGCCTTAGTTGTTGTTACTTTTGTCTTCCTTTCAGTACTCTTTATCATACGCAAGCGATCCTTCATACGCCAGTTATTCTCCTCACTAAAAGACTGGCTTGACCGCTGTATATCGAAGGACGCCCATACAGAAAAGCTTCCTACCAGAGCTACAAGCAACAGAAGCACCGATCCTAAAGGTGTCTCTATTGGCTTAGGATCTAGAACACCGTCAGAAGTTGAGGAGGCTGTCACTTCCACAAGCATCAGAAAAAGGGAAATACTAGCTAGGCGTTTCAGAAGATCCGATTGAGACTATGATTACTGTGTGAGTCAAGCTACTCAGACTCCCAAACCCATGTTATTTTTTGTTATTCTAATAGCTGGGATCTCCAGTGGCCTACGTAATGTAAGGCTTTGAGGCAATCTGCTAGGAACAAAAGCGATTTGGGAGGCATTCCATTAAACCTGTGCCCGGAACTTCCCTTTGCTATTTCAAATATATCAGCAAAGCGTTACTACTATGAGCTCACCCTTAGGATTAGACAACAGTCTTTCATGTATCTGAACTAACGAGATCATTCGTTCCTCTTGGCCGAGGCACGCCCGTATTTGTCCCGCACTATTTCTTGCATCCACGCCGGCCAAGCAGCAACTCCAGAAAGAAACGACCGACTCTCGGGAAGAATTAAAACACCACCCCTCTTGCTCACTAGCCTCTCAACAATCTTCTCGCCTACGAAATCGGCTTCGAGAATGTTCTGTCCCTCCTCGTCGAGACGCTTCTGGATGTCCTGGATGATGGGTGTTCTGACGAACTGAGTGTGGACTGCAGTAGTGATTACATTTGGCGCATGGTAAAAGTGCTTAAGCTCGCTGCCTAATACATCATGGAACGCCCGGGCGGCCGACTTGCTACCGGAGTAATCACTGCACCGGGGTAAGGCGAGGAAGGAGGCTGCGCTGGCCACGGTGAGGATATGGCCCTTGTTGTTCTTGATCATGTCGGGGAGGAATTGCTGCACAGTAAGCCAGTGGGCGAGAGAGTTGACAGAGAATATCTCGTACAGTTTCTCTGCGGAAGCATCTAGGATACGGCAAGGACGACATATCCCAGCGTTGTTGATGAGGATGGTGGGATGTCCGATGCTGGTGCGTATTTCCTCCGCAACAGCTGCCACCTCGTTTGGCTTCGTTACATTGCATTTACAGAACAAGATACGAGCTTGTTCTTTGAATGCCTCGGGTGGATCTTTCAAGTCAAGCACTGCGACGCGAAGGCCCTTGTTGATAAGCTTCTCAACAACGGTCCTCCCGATTCCGCCAGAGCCACCGGTGACGACGGCAATCTCCTTGGAACAGATCCAGTCGCTGGGGGGACTCGCGCGCCAGGAATTGCGCGCCATGTCATTGAGGAATCTATTTGCCCAGCGAATTAGGCTGAGTGCGACCACGATGCCCAGTGCTGTCCGGATCTTGCCATTGTTGCCCAAGAAGAAGTGATGCAGTCCTGAGGGTCTAGGAATGTGTTTTGCAAGGGCGGTAAGAAGGCTTCCGGTTGTTTTTTGTGCGAATGCGGCCGTCAGAAGAGCTAAACCCGGGACCAGCATGGGCGATAGTGATCTTTGAAGTGCCGACATGATTACCAAGAATGAGCTTGGTCTCTTGAGTGAGATCGTAGCTGGTCTGGTATGTATGAAGCATACAGAGCAATTGCAAAAAAAGGGGGATGACAGGAAAACAGCTAGCCAAATAAATCACCATTACTGCATTGTCACGGGGAGTGACCAAGGATACATGAACGAAGTTTCATCCCAGTGGATGCATCATAAGCATAATAATAAGCATTAACATGGATTAGGGGAATCGATGAAATGCCATACACCTTTACAATAAAAACCTTGACTAGCCAACACAAGTTCTTGATAGGCTGCTCGGATCAAGACCAGCCTCCCTCTTTCTGTCACTTTTCCCCTGCTACGATTTCTAAGTCCTTCATGTTCATTGGTTCCATATTAAGTAGCCTTAAGGCACATACACATACATATATGAGTTGTTGCCGGGGGCATGTCGGTCTTACATAGCTTGTCCGTTGTTGGTAAGATAACCCGTCCGTTATTAAGATAAATTACCCGTTGGTAAGACAGCCTTTCCTCTCCCGCCACCCCCCTCTAAAATAAATTTCCCATAACCCGAGGGGACACTCACTTGTACTGTAATAGCGACTCAGACTTTGGGAATGACATCACGTAGCACAATGAAGGGTTGAAGAAGCTTAATACTCTCAGCTATTACAGATATGATAATCAAGTACATGGCTATTGTAGTAGGGTCCGCTATATTCAGGTCACTCCATTTGGAAGTTGGATGGCGCAAGCAGATCATGATAACTTACCCACATAGTGTTTAACAACTAACAGCCAACAGCCAACAGCCAGCAACCAACAACCAACGCCACACTAGTTACCACAGCGATGGCCGTGAGGGAAAATTGAATTATAGAACTTTAATCACGCGAGGATCAATCGCTCTCTCATTATAGATGCAAGATACTGGTATTCTAGCCTGGCTCTCGGCTGTCCCCAGATACTCCCAGCTTCCGTCACCAACAATGTCCGATAGTGACACCACCGAATCTCCTCCAAACAAACGCCTCCGCCTGAATACCGAGTCAGAATGTAGCGAGAGCAGCACCAGCTACTGTAGGAGGAGCAGGACAGCGAGCCCTACAAGACACCTTGTCCTGTTCCAGGCTAACCATGTCATCGACCGGCAGTCTTTCACTGGCGAGAAACAACGTCCTAAAAGGCTGGATGACCTCGTGAACCTTATCAAAAACGATGCAATTGGGATGGGCATCCTCACACAACCAGACTGGGTGAGTCCAGGCTGCAAAAGCTGCCCGTCCGTCCTGATCTTGAAATGTTGGCTAAAACTCGCGTCGGGAACCAAAACAGCACTCCATACGAGCCTATTCCGAACAACACCCAGACGAGCGCGTTCTTCTCTCAGACTTACTCAACACCCAAAGACTCATTGACACGACCGGCGAGCGTACGAACCTCGGGGTAATGCCTCCAATTGCCGATCTTGTGGAGATCTGGAGAGAGGCCAATACCTGCGAAGTCAACGGCCATTCCGAGGCAGCATGGAACAGCGAAGTTCACTCTCCTTTGCTGAAAGCCGCGCTTCGTTATTCCGTTGTGAATCAACCAGGTGACCCGAGGCCCGTCAAGATTGCGCACACAAACATGTAAGTGGAGGGAGGCATAGTGTGGACAGACTGGCTAATGACCTCTTTGCCCTGTGCCTCTAGGACCACGGCACAAATCATCGAATGTTATAGTCTTTACCAAAGAACTAAGCCAGAGAAGCGAGCCGACCGAGTCGACTTTTGCTTTTACTTGCAGCCCAAGTCTCAGCCAACCAAAGGAGCTCTCTCGTCCGCAGCACAGAGGTCGGTCCATGGCAGCATCAATCACACTGATTATATTGCCCTACTCAACCGCCCTATCAGCCTCAGCATCAAGACGGATCGGAAGGCAGGGCTAGAACATATGAGCGTCTGGCTTTCTGCACACTGGGACCGACTTGACGAGCTAGGTGCGGACAAGGAACGGCTTCTAGAGCGAGCAATGTTTCTCCCTGGAATCATTGTCCAGGGGCATACCTGGGCACTAGTAGCAGCAACACAAGGCGCTCTGCTACGAGACCGTGGGGAGACTATCATCTGGACTCAGATCCCTATCGGTTCAACCGAAGGGCTGCAAGGCATTTGTCAGATCATCACAGTGCTGCAGCGACTAGCAGTATGGTCCACGGATACGTACTGGCCATGGCTTGCTAACTTGACGCATTGCCAATGCAGCACGTGACTCGATTTAAAGAACGTTGTAATTTATGCTTTTTTTCCTTCTTGGGCTTGTAGAGTTTCCCTTCTTTCCAACTATAGTCTTGAGCTCATAGAGCATATTGAGATATCAGCTGTAGCATCTTTCATTACTATTTTTGGACTTTATAATCAATCTCTCACCGAACAATCAAAACAATTAACTCATTAACAAGCACGATATCGATAATTTCTTATGATTATGTTAAGTATTATGAATTTTACGTGAAAAGGGCGTTAATATGCTATGTTCTATAACGGTCGCTTGACTGGCTATATAACTTAGAAAATCCGATCAAGGCCGCATTTTATAATAGTTTTATTACAGCATTATGAAATCTTCGCAAAATTTATCTGTCAAGTTGTCATATTGGGTCTGCAGAGACGGCCAGGGCTTAAGCAGTTCACATTGAGATGATTAGGGAAGATGTACCTTCTAGAGGCCTTTATTTAATTCTAAAAGTTTACTCTCATCTCCAATGTTTTGATGCCAGACATCAGAGCCTTTCTTTAATCCGACAATCAGCCATCGTTCCTTGTTTTAAATCAGTTGGCCTGATCGCTGTCGCTCCTCTTCTCTCCACCAGACTCCGAGTTCTCAAAAATGTTCTCGCGGTGTACGGCATGCTCGAGGTACTCGGCCTTGAGCTCACCCTTTTCGTTGTAGCGGAAGGGCTCGTTGAGCGAGATCTTGACACAGTCGAACACGTTGGTGCTCTTCTTGAAGATGTCGTCCATTTCCTCGAGGGAGCGGAGACGGGTTTCGGGGAAGAAGAAGTAGACGCATGGGAACATGAATGCGTTGCTATCGGGGAGTTAAGGTTAGTCCACTTGCTCAAAGGCGAGATGAATGAGTGCGGAATCTGAAACTTACATGACAGCAAAGATGATGTATGTCTTGTATTTGATGCTGTCGAATGCGACGGGAGTGATCATGACAACCATGAAGTTGAAGATCCAGTTGCCACTAGAAGAGACGTTAGTTCGCCCATCTTTGACACCAAATTAGTAGAGGGCGCCTTACCTAGTCGACAACGCATTCGTAGGTGCACGGATACGAAGGGGCACGATCTCGGCAGGGTACAGCCAGGTCATTCCCAACCAGCCAAAAGCGAAGAAGGTGTTGAAGACAAACAGAAAGACAGCCTGACAGATACCAGCGGCCTTGTCGTCGAAGGTAATGACACGGTAGTTAGTACCAGCGAGCACGCCCATAGAAATGGCCATACCGGCAGCCTAAGACTGTCGTTAGCAACTAAGTTACTTCAATAGATATCCGGAGGAACTTACACCGAGAAGCATGAGCTTACGGCGGCCGACCTTTTCAATGATGAAAATGGGGAGCAGAGAAGCAAGCAGATACTCCGTTCCGTTGGCAGCAGCGAGGAGCTTAGGCAAGTTATCACCCTCAAGACCGATCTGAGCATAGAGAGAAGGAGCCTATTGGCGTATGTCAGAACCAATAAAATTTGACTTTAATTATTCCAATAATTCAGTAACTCACGTAGTAGGTAATGAGGTTAATTCCGGAAATCTGCTGGAACATCTGGTTCACGTAGGCAAGGACAACACGGTGGAACTCGCGGTACTCTGTCATGTCGAACAGACTGCGGAACGAGCCGTGAGACATCTCCTCGACGGTGGCCTTGATAGCCCTAAACTCGGTCTGGATATAAGGGTCTTCGCGAGTCTTCTCATTCAAAGCCTCGAGAACTTCCAGAGCTTCGTCGTCCCGGCCCTGCATGGCCAGCCATCGGGGAGACTCGGGGAGGTTCTTGATGGACGTGAAGATGACAACAGCGAAGAGAATCTGGAAAGCCAATGGGAATCGCCATGCGACTTCCTTGTCACCAATCCATGCGAAGCCTGAACATATCGGTTAGAAATAAGGTGCACAAGACAGAAATGACCAGTGGGATCAAAACCAACCATAGTTAATCCAGTAGCTCAGGCAAATACCGCCCGTAATCAGGGAACCTTCAATCATGACCAGCTTTCCACGGTCGTGCGACTTTGCCGACTCAGATTGCCAGGTGGGAACGGTACTGGTGTTGATACCATTTCCAATACCGGTGATAATTCGGCCGATGATGAATTGCTCGAGGTGGTAAGAACTGGACATGAGGGTGGCTCCAATTGTCATGATCGTGCATCCGGTCATGATTGTGCGACGTCGACCGAGGTAGTTGCCGATGAAGATGCAAATAATTGAGCCGAGGAAGCATCCCAGGTTGTACGCTGCGACAGCAATACCCTGGTTGGCAGAACGCTGTGATTTGACGGCATCTGAAAGACCCTCCTCAAGGGGGTTGATGGTCGGGAAATGGCGAGTGAACGCGGGGAGATCTAGCAGACCACCAGTTATTCCTTGATCGTAGCCAAACAGCCTGTTCATTCCGTTTGTCAATTGAAGTCCTCATTGAAAGATTCATTTCTGCCATGCACGTACAGGAAATCAAGACTGCCGAGGGAACTGATGGCGAGGTTCAGCTGCCTGCCTCGAAAGCCAAAGTATTTTTTACCCATGATGGAAGTAAGGGAGCAGCTCTGAATCTAGCTTGCTATTTCTTGTGTACCCAAACTACTATCACCAGATTCAAGGTGGATAATGAAAACTCTACTTCTACAAAAGGGACCAACGGCAGAGACATTCATCTTTATAAAATGTAACGGCGGGACAGTGTCCAACCTGCGGGTTCGGTATGACGAAAAGGGAAATCCGAGCATGATTCAATGTTTCGTGTATTGGAGGGTGAAGCAGAGGCATGGACTTCTCCACCGACAGACTGGGAATCAGCCTTTGACAAATCCAAACGTGACTCGATGCGACGGTTGTTTACCCACTTGGGACCGACCTTAAACTTCGTTTGGGAGACGAAAGGCCCGTCCACCGTCTTTCCAACCCGGCCAACGAGGACGAAAATGAGGAAACGTCACGTCGGATGGAAGGGGCTTGGCTGACGTAGGACCAAGGGGCATCTGGTGGGGATCATCGACTGGGGACATGCCGCCTTTGGAGAGTCGAGAACGCCCGTAGCCGCAGAGCGAGTACGGAGTAGGACAGCTCCGTGTGAATTCGGCACTAGTTTACTCCTGGGAAGACTCTGGTGGTTGGTGTTGGTGGGAACGGGGGGCAAGAGAGGGAACAAGAAGCTGGAGGAAGACCTTGAGTAGCGGCGAACAAACTGTGGAACATTGGGAATATTCCCCACCCCAGACGGGGTAGGCAGCAGCTTTTTACAGCCATCACAGACAATTGGGTGAAAATCCCCGCTGGTGTTGGTTGGGGTTAGTCTGACAGCAATTCCGAGAGACAGGGCCCCCTGAAGCGATGTTTGCAGATCATGTGCCTCCCGCGGAAGCCCAAGTTTGTTCAAGTGCGATTGATGCTTCTCCCGTCTTCTGGGCGGTTTGGACTGAGGTTCTGGTTAAGCGTGGCCCACGAGCTTAAACGCGATTAAGTGACGACGAGACTGTGGAGTGACGCTGGAGAACGAACCCACGAGTCGGCTTTATTATTGTGGGCGGTTCCATTGAAATGAGTAGGTCTACACTAGATCTCACGCCCCAGTAAAAGACAGTCATGATTGGCCATGATCCCGACACTGTCGCTTAGGTGACGCCATTGCACAACACTGTGTGGCCGCTTCCCAACCTCATCCATGTAGATGTGGGCTAGTTTTGGAGTACGGTGCGGTTTGTGACACTGTAGATATTTTAGTATCGGGTTTAAGAGAGTGTGCCAATGACTGATACTAGTAGTTCTCGGCAATTTCTCTTTGTGATGGGTTACGCGCATTGTAGGAAAGAGTTGCGGGGGCCCAGACTCCAGGTTCTCCGGACGGATGAACAACTTGGGATTGAGTCTGTTTTCTACCCCGGATATCTTTTCACAGTTAGACTCGGTAATCTCAAGGCTTGCCTTCGGGCCGGCTGTCTTCAAGAGGACGAGTCAGTCACTCGTCTTATGAGAACTAAGGAGAAAGACAAGCAGGGGATACAGTGCAAACCCATGAGCCTGTGTGACCCGCACAGAGTGCAACATGGATTTGCAACTCCATTCAGGCATCCCCGGGGGGTCCCCATTGCAAAAATTAGACGTCCGCCATTGCCCATCTCCACTTAGCACTCGCCGGACTCTCTCTCTCTTCCGACTTTCTCTTTTTTTTTTTTTTAATTGTTCTACCCTGATTCTCCCATCAGATGATAAAATGGTTATTAAACTGTCTATGATCCCACTTACCCGAAATAATCATGTAATTGAGTCCATCTGCTCTCAATGGCTGCACCATACTGTAGTCATGGAGTTAAGTGGCGCCGTAGTTGCCACTCATTCCTACCTTGGCAGTAACTTGGCAGCAATAAATCACACTAAAAAGTTTCTACAAAGTACGCTTCTACATTTCTACAGTGACCCCCGGCTTGCCCTTTCCAGCTGGTGTATGTGTTCCTAGGCCCGAACACTGCCGAACCATTGTTCGGATGAGGCGTATAAGGAAAGGAGAACGAAGAACCTTCAGCAAATTCCGAGTAATTCTTGAAGTTCAGATATGGTATGTCCGTTGTAATCTCCGCCACCATCAGACATATCACGTTATAGCTACTGCATGCCCGTCAACATGTGTCCCCCGCCCTCTTGCGTTCACTCCTTTGTGGTTCATTGGGCTTCTCCTGCCACCAGTGCTTGTTTGAGGTAAGCCGATGATCATGTCCTTTTTCTTCGTCCGCCCTCGTGGCTTGCCAAGGCGCTGGAATCGAGCCGACTGGTATCGACCCGTGACTACCACAAATAGGCATAGAGGAATTGTACATAGCTACGCAGACCCCCAGTGGGCTACCAAGCTCGAAATCAGACATGACTATGCTTGATGCTTACATGTAGGGTGTGTATACGCCCCAATTGACAGAGGCCGGGGAGTCCATTGCAACAGCTGGGTGGGTCTTGGGAGCTTTCATCAATGTATTATTCTGAAAACAAGTCAAAAC